CCCCTTACATCTTGATGATGGTGCTATCAGGGCTCCAGGAAATGGGGTTTATAGGTTTCTGGAGATACAACTATGGATAAGATTGCCTTTTTCTTAGTTTACTAAGCCATCCATAAACTGAAAAAGACTACTGTCCTACATGACTATGACCTCTGTCAGTCAACCATTTGCTTTCTTTCCTTTCCCCTGTTCTTGGGCAGCCAGGAGTATCCCAGGAATACACATATATCCCACCTGGGGGAGGAGTGTGGAGCTTGCACCACTCTTCCTCATCACTTTTCTCAACTTAAGTATTGTGAAACAAGCCTGGACCTGCTCCCAACACCCAGGAAGTGAAACTAATAATCCCTCACAGCATTTTGGGAATACTCAGGAGATAATCAGATCCTCTACTTCTGGCCACAAATGATCTGAGTTTCACCTCTACACGGTTGTTGTGCCCTTTCCTTACCTGAGAAGTTTTCATACTCAGAAGTGTTAACTACCTGTCCATTGACAGATCACTCTAGTCCTGGTAATTTGCATCCTACTGTTGACAAAGAATGTCTGAAAACAGTGCAGTACATGTACCCTACATGGAACCACACAACATGGGTTATTCTGTGGATAATGGGAACCAAATATCTCCATTTCCTGGAGTCCCTAATATCACCCTCCTCTCCATAGTGATGTGGGGAGCAGAGGCCAGAAGGAACTGGCAGGTAAAATTAAATTTCTTTATAACCTATAGCCCATCGACAAACACTTAAGGCAAATACAGAATATAACATTTCTCCAGGAACCCCCTTTTGTTCTAATGTTAATGTCTTACTAGGAGATAAATAACCTTAGCTTGACAATAGCAAGGCCTTGGGTATCTTGGGAATCCCATTTAGCATATCAATGTCCTTCTGGAGGCCTCCTTATGGCCTTTACCTCTCCTCACTCTATAGTATATAACTAGTCACTCTTTACAACCCCAGTGCAGCTCTTTCTGCTCAAGGCTCCTGTCCCCCTGCTTTAATAAAATCACCCTTTTTCCACCAAAGACGTCTCGAGAATTCTTTCTTGACCATCATCAGCTCCAAATCTCCACCACTCACTCCAAAACCCTATCACTAACAGAATCACATACATCAGAACTGAGGACAGAAGTCTTCCTCGTATGTCTACCTCTACTCCCATTAGCTATTCCTATAAATTGCCATGGATGATTCCTAAATGCCTTTTAAATTGATTGGGCTAACATTTACTTCAAATCATAAATAATTCACTATTATTAATTAGTGCCATCAAACAAATAGAGCAATGGGCCACTACCTAATGAGTATCATTAAAAGACTGCCCAGAGATAGTATGCACCTAGTATTACAATATATTACAATCAAGATGTTCATGATCTGTGGTATCAAATTAAAAACTCTATAATCCAGTGTCAATACTAACAAACCCTATAGGATTATAGAGATAAAATTATAACTTTTCTTCATTCTGGGGATGATTATAAATACAAACTCTGTCAACAATCTATAACCTTACAAGTATTAATTTCTTTTCCTTTTAATTATAATTATCTTTTCTCCCCTCCAGTATAAGCATCATTTATTTGGATGGAAAGACATTGCATTAACCAAGTGGCCAAGGACATCTTACCATGGACCTCTTCCCTGGCCACTTATCAATATGTACAAGGAAGGCAATGTATACAAAATAATATTACCTGGCCCAAGGCATGTCTAAAATAAACAGGGACTACGATCATCATAGGAATTCTTTACTAGCTGAACCTTCTCACAACACCAATTGCAAGTTATACATAATCCTCCATGGGATCAGGCTTTACAACAATTGTAACACTGCCTGGCTACAGTAAACAGTCATTGCTCTTGGATGTTATAGCAAAGACAATTCTTAGGAAAAGCATATCTGATCATATGGGGAAATTTAACTGCTCTTTGCATGGGACTTTCTCTGCTCAAATTGACAACAAATTGTTTATAGCTATTGCAAAATTTCCTGGGTCTACCAAGACCACCATTAATAAGACTTTAGGAAAATAAACAAGAGAAATTGGCACCCAATGTTACTCTTCAGGCGGATCCTTAAAAAATGTACACACTCTGCTTATAGGAGATAGAAACAATAATGAAAAGCCTGGAGGCAAAGCTAACCTGGGAGGAAAAGTATTGGTAGAGCCCCACTGCCACTCCAAGGAGCCACCCTGAGGCTATGCTAGCTACAGATTGGCTGCCCAGAAAAGTTTTCTTTAGAACAGAAATGATGGGGGCAAGCCATCCCCTACTGGAACACAGCAATGTCATGATGAATAGGTACAGAAATGGGCCAAATATATAATACAAAAGATGTCTGCTTTTGAAAAAAATTGGTTCACTTTGATCACATAAGTAAAGGCCCCACCCTATGGGATCCAATTTGGTATATGACTAACTTAACAAAACAAAAACAGAAGGCAGATATTAATGACTTATTTCTCTCAATATAGTAATTATCTTCGGTTATAATTTTCTGTTGGTGGAAGAGAGAAGGCTTGACTTAGAACAGGTTTCTCAACGTTGGCATTATTGATATTTTGGGCCAGATAATTCTTTGTTGGAAAGGGTTGTTTTGTGTGTTGTAGGATGTTTAATAGCATCCCTGGTCTCTTCCCACTAAATGCAACTAATGTCCCCTTTCCTAGTTGTGACACTCAAAATCATTTCCAGAATTGCCAATAGCTCCAGATTTGCTCTGAAGCAAATCCCACACCTCTACTGGGGTAGAGAAACAAGCTGTATCATTTTATCTGGTTTCCCTACACCACTCCTAGCCTTTTGGTTTGTAATTATTGGAATCTTGTCCATCCACTAGAGTATTTTGGAAGCGGTAAGAGGCCTTTCATCAATTGCCAAAATTTCTGCTCCTAAACTATACTATTAACATTAAATCTATTCTCTTTTTTATATCTGAGGGTTATAGGTGTCATTTTTTCTATGTTCATTTATTTATATTTTAAACAGTAAAATAGTTTTGCACTTCTGTGACTTCCATACCACATTTTCCCAGAAAAATTTTTGTCTTAAAAAAGAGTTATTAACTATTTGGTAAATTCAGTAAAATTCCTGATTTAATCCACCTTATCGGTTAAGAAAATATTCTTTCAAAGTACCAAGTTAACTGGAAGGTTTAAAATAACATAACTGATGAGATTCATCTTGTGAGTTAAGAAATTATTGCTTCAGAATAGGAGTATAACCTGAAGATTAAAATACTGTCATTCAGTTTTTATGGATGTCATTAATCATCAGCTTTCTTCTTTTGCTCTCACGGTCTTAAGAAAAGTAAGGTTTAAAATAGATTTTACACAAAATTCTTTTTTCCCCCTAACAATTGTTCAGAAAGAGTTGCTTTAGAGCAATGATGCTGGATTACAAAAGAGGGATTCAGTGCACAGGTGTCTTCTTCCAGTGTTCTTCTGTGAGGGTGTGAAGCAGCACCTTGGGATCAGAGGAGTGACTGGTATGTTGGCCCTGGTAAATGTAACCATGAGGAGGTAGAGCATAAAAGGAGTGAGGAATTAGGAGACCTCTGAAGGAATATTAGTCCACTTACAAAATGTTTCCCATAGTAAAGCATAAGTGGAATTATCTGCTACCATATACACCTATACTAACCCTCAACTTTGCTCTCCTTGCCTGTTCTTTCTGAGAAATATTTTCCAAATTCTATAAAGGTAGAGAATTATCTATTGCACATTTATAAAACTTAACTTTCTAAGTTCTTCAGATTTTGCTCAAAGTTCCATTTAAATCATCAAATATTATTTGATTTTGTGCAATAATGTATATTTGGCTTCTATTTTATTTTTATATGAATATGCTTCACACATGATGTTACGTTAGTCTCAGGCATACAACGTAGTGATTCAAGTTTATACATGACACTGTTCACCACAAGTGAACCTACTACCACAAGCAGCTACCATCCGTCCTATGATGTATTTATTCCATAACTGATGTATTTATCACCATGATGTGTTTATTCCATAACTGGAAGCCTGCATCCCCTTATCCTGCTCACCCACTTTGCCAACCCCCTACTTCCTCCCCACTGACAACCACCAGTTTGTTCTCTGTATTTATAGGTCTGATTCTGCTTTTTGTTTGTTTATTCATTTGTGGCTGTTGTTGTTTAGATTCCACTATATCAAAATAAAAAGCTTTTGGACAGCAAAAGAAACCATCAACAAAACAAAAAAACAACATACCGAAAAGGAGAAGATATTTGCAAATGATATATTTAACCACTACTTTAAAAGTAAAGGCACAGAGTCCATAGAAAGCTGGACTCTGTGTGAATCTCTTATAAAAAAACTGTTTAGTGTGCTTACTGTGAATCTCTTATGAAAAACTGTTGATGATGCTGAGACACTTTCTTAAAAAGTGTGTCCTGTGCTTCACATGTGAAGAGGGAGACTAGAATAAAACTCAACTAATTGACACAGATGAGTGGTGCAAGAGATAACTCGGGTACCAGGATATTTTGTACACAGATCTCAACAAAAGCAGTGGCAAACATTGTGAAGAGCAGGCTCTATTGGAAACCCAGAAAGTCCAAACAACTGTATCTCTCGAACAAATTAATTAATATTAGGAAAGAGTCAGTACAGTATCTCTTCAAAGTTTCCCATGGGAAAAAATACCTGTTGCTTTATTTATTCTAATAAGGGGTTTTTCCCCTAATCTTTTTACATGCACTTTCATCCTATGTCTTAGATTGGGTTTACTAGGGGAGAGTTCAACATAGGGGTTCAGAAACATGTGATTAACTGCAGGGGTGCTCATGTGCAAAATCCTGTGAGGAAGTGAAGTCACCTAGGGAAGCAAAAGGGAACAAATAAGGATGTATTCTCAACTATGGCCCATCTTTGGCCTGGTTCTCTGGGGAAGAGCTCTGCAACATACACCACAAGGCAGAGTTATCTCCAGTGAGGCAATGGGAACAGACCTGTATCCCTGACTCACTTATCCATTGGTGGTGAAGTGTCACCTGAAGGCAATTCACTGTAGTACAGGAGCAGCAACATTAACATCATTGAGTCCAAATGGAGATTCATCCTATGTCTAGAGATAGAAAGACAGGTGTGAGAGGCCCAGCTGTTTGAATCTTCTTAGCTCAGGTCCCAGGGCTAAATGTGAGTGAGCCTTCAGTTGATTCCAGCTGCCCCAGCTGACTCTGACCTAGCCTTCAAAGCTGCCCCATCTGACTCTAGACTCCATATAGTTCAGAGGCAAGCTTTATCTGTCAAGACATGCCCAAGTTGCAGACTGATGAGCAAAATAAATGTGACCATTTTTCTAAAGCTACTAAAGTTTTGGGGTGCTTTCTAATGCAGCCACAGCAACTGAAATGCATGGGTTCTAAAGTGAGTTGAAATTTCACTTCATACATAATAGGTGGGTAATAACTTTGAATGAGTAACAGAGTTCTCTGTGTTTTGGTAGTATTAGTACTTAACCTCCTATGGTTCCAGATATAGTACACAGCAAGACTTTAACAAGTATTTCAATCTGTATTGATTAACAAATTCCTCAGTCTATTTGAAGGTCCTCCAAAGTAACAAAGGCATTCTTTATGCATTTCTTTGGTTTTTCCCCTAACAAATTAAAACAAGTTCCTTCACTTAAATGGTACTTAAAAGAATAATAATAAAAGTAACTTCATTGTGGTTTATGTATAATCTCAGTGGAAAATATCAAACTTTTCTCAAAAAAGTAGAATTAACCAGCAACAAAGTTTATATTTTTCATGGAATTTTATCCATAACTGTATTCATAGGAATTTACACAATTGTTTGAGAATAAAAATAATTGTTCACTATCAATTTATATCAGACTCATATTTTGTAAGATTCTCTGCTAAAAATTTACCTTCATTATTGAATTTGATTTCACGAAATACCTATCATGAAGGATGAAAGACTCCATTTCACAGATAGGGGAATTGAGGCTGCAGTTAAACCACCTAAGTAAGAGCATAATGTGAATGTCTAATAGAGTGGCAGTTCTAAATAGGATCTGTTTACTAAGATAACACAGTCATTTTAAAGGTTAGTGACTTTTTACTGAGTTTAAACTCAGAATCCCAAACTAGATGTTTACTGAGTCAAGTATTAGCTCTCAAATAACTTTAGGTTTCAGTTCTTTCCGACTACTTACCTTTATTGGAAGAACGAGTAGATATCGAACTTGAAAAAGAGCAATTACAAAATGGCAGTAGGGAACAATCAAAGCCATTTTGTGCTACTCCTGGGGTAGGCAGAATGAAGAATACAATTTCAACTGAATAAAAAGAATTTTCCAACAATCATTGCTACACAGGATTGCAAGGACCTGTTTAAAAAAAGCAACTTCAGAAAATATATTTAGTCAATGCTTTATGAGACTTTCTTGTGAAATCCTCTGAATATATTACTTTTTTAAAAATTAAAGTATGATTGACCTAAAATTGTGTTAGTTTCAGGTGTACAACTTAGTGATTAAACCTTTGTGTATGTTGCAAAATGATCACCATAAGTCTAGTTACCATCTGTCACCATATACAGTTACAAAAAAACTTTCCCATGTGATGGGAACTTTTAAGATTTACTTTCTTAATTCTACCAATAACATGCAATACCATGTTATTGACTATAGTCATCATGATGTACATTATGCCATGTCTTACTTGTTTTACAGCTGGAAGTTTCTACCTTTTTAATCCCCTTCCTCTATTGTCCCCAACTCCTCATCTCTTTCCCCTTTGACAACCACTAATCTGTATACTATATCTATGAGTTTTGTTTCTTGGTTCATTTGTTTTGTTTTTTTAGATTCCACATATAAGCAAAATCATAGGGCGTTTGCCTTTCTCTGTCTGACCTTATTTCACTTAGACTTTAAGGTGTTGGGAGCCATTCTGAGCCCACTAGTTGAGAAAACTCCTGTTGAGGTTAAAGCAAGTTTGCACGGTCTCTTGCCAATCAGATGATGACCGATATCCGCCCCCACTCAATTATTTCTGCTTGAGCACTGACCCCTAGGGTACCTTGTTGATCAATATCGGGAGTGACTTGTCCCCTTATTCCGGCCCTGGTATGATGTTTGCACCTTGTGAAGGAACTTATTGTGGGAACTTCTTCTTTTGATTATGGGAACAGACATCGTGTCTCCAGAAGGTCCTGTTTCCCTCCATACTTTCCCTTGAGCTATGAACAGGCTAATGACCTCTAGTCATAAAAGATTGACCTTTACATGCACAATTCTGTTTCTACCGTTGCGTTAGTCCAAGATGTTCATACAGCTCAACATGTAAATCAACTAACCAAAAATGTCTCTCATGCTAACTGATGGTGTTTAGCAGCCCCTTCCCTAAGGCCTACATTCCACAAACACCTTCCCTTAACCTGGCAGCTGTGATGAGGATGGATAAGAGTATCTACAAACCTATGACTTAATCTTAGCGTTATTAAAATGTGAACACCTTGTTATTTTCTTAGTTACTCAACCTCACTATAATTGGGGAAGTTCTGCAAGAAGACTTCTGTAAAAGTTGTTTCTGTACATTTTCCAAAAACATCTTATCACAAAGAGCTATCCATTGTAAAAATTCCATTTCCTGATGCCATGTTAACATTTGACCTATAAATAAAGACACCAAAACCGACAGGACAGAGATGCCTGCCTGGTGATCAGAAAGGATCTCGGGGCTCTCTCACTCTCTTTTGCCGACACCGTCCATCCTTCAGGGACCCCTGGACCTGTCAGAGCCGGTGCGGCCTCTGACATTAAGGACCATTCATGTTGTCGCAAATGGAAAGAGCTCAGTCTTTTTTATGGCTGAGTGGTATTGCATTACGTAAGTATATATATATATATATATATATATATATATATATACACACACACATATATATATCCCATCTTATTTATCTATCAATGTACATTTAATTTCCATATCTTGGCTATTGTAAATAATGCTGCAATAAGCATAAAAGTGCATATATCTTGGGGCACCTGGGTGGTTCAGTCGGTTAAGCGTCCAACTTCGGCTCAGGTCATGATCTCACAGTTCGAGGGTTCAAGCCCCATGTCGGGCTCTGTGCTGACAACTAGCTCAGAGCCTGGAGCCTGTTGCATATTCTCTGTCTCCCTCTCTCTCTGACCCTCCTCTGCTCATGCTGTCTCTCTCTCTCTCAGAAATAAATTTTAAAAAAATTTTAAAAGTGCATATATATTTATAAACAGTGTTTTTGTTTCCTTCAGTTTTTAAAGTTTTCTTTTCTTTTTTTAAAATTTATTTATTTATTTTTTTGGTAGCTGTTTGGGTGAGTTCTACTGCCCTGTGAGAGATCACTGATCCTTTCTTCTGCTTCATGCAGTCTGTTATTCAACTCCTCATTGTTTTTTTCAACTTAGTTTATATTCTTTAGCTCTGTGACTTCTATTTGGTACTTTCTTATATTCTGTATTTTTGTTGAAGTTCTTCCTGTGTTACTTCATGCCTCTCATAAGTTCAGTAAACCTTTTTATGACCATTACTCTTTCTCAGGTAAATTACTTTTCTCCATTTCATTAAAGTTTTTTTCCTGGAGTTTTATCTTGTTTCTTCTTTGGAAACACATTCCCTTGTCTTCTTGTTTTGTTTGACTTGCTGTGTTTGTATCTATGTATTAGGTGAAACACTTAACTCTCCCAGTCTTTTTTTTTTTTTTTTAATGTCTTTCATTTATTTCTGAGAGGGAGACAGCACGAGCAGGGGAGGTTCAGAGAGAGAGAGGGAGATGCAGAATCTGAAACAGGCTCCAGGCTCTGAGCTAGTTGTCAGTACAGAGCCCAACACAGGGCTCAAACTCTCCCAGTCTTGAAGGAATGGTCTTGTGTAGAAAATAAAACTTATCATTTAATCTTGCCATAGCTCTTGGTTGTCTCTTGAACCTATGTGATTGTCTAAGTGGCCTAATTTATTATTAATAGGGATCAGTTTTTTGAGGGAATGTCAGTCTAATGAATGTTCCAGAGGAAGGCTATTTTAGTCAGCTCATGTGGATTGGAAGCTAGACTCTCAGGCAGCAGGATTTAAGGTATTCAAATATATACAGTCCTGGGGGACTTCAATTGTAAATCCAGACTAGGTGACCTAGAGGTGTCCCCTTGGTGACAGCTGTAAAAATCAAGGCCCAGACAAGTATATATGCTCCTTTCTGGGAAATACCAATGAGCTACAGTGAGGCTAAGGGAGAGCACAAAGATGGTGTCCCCTGGTCTACATTCCTTGAGATCACTGTTGTAGCCTCTGGATGTATGGTAATCCATGGCTAAAATTCCAGAATAAGTAAATAGGCCTCTTTCACAATACAGAGGGTGCATTTCAGTCTATTGTATGTATAGTGCTCTGGGAATGATAGCCTGCCAATACTGTCTCTCCAATTATTTCGATCCCATGGGTCCCATAAATGCAATCCTCCCTGGTCACCAGAGCCAGGCATTCAAGAGGTGTCCCCTGTATGAGTTCCATATTCCCACTGCCTTTGGTGGAACCATGAAGGTGGCTCAGGGTTGGGGCACTCAGCTGCCTGGCTCTGACAGGGTCACAGGGGCAGCACAGGGGTGGGTACACCTATTGGCATTAAAAGGGTAGAGGGAATGTGACACAATGGAGCCCACCAGCAATGGTGCTAACAAGGTAGAGGAAGAACACAAAAATGATCCCCACCAGTGTCTTCATTCCCAGATAGAGTCCCAACAGATTCTTGCCCCTCCAGCAAATGCTCTAAGATTAACAAAAAAATCTTCATGTATGGTCTAGGAACTTTTCAAACTGCTCCTTATGGTGCTGGGCCCTGGGCAAGTGAGTCTGCACACCAACCCTCTAAAAATGGACTCTCTCTTTCCTACAGCTAGGTGGGTCTCCTGGACATAAGCCCTGCTGGTTTTCCAACCCAGAGGTTTTGGTGGCTTATCCTTCTGGTACATGTCCCAAGGACTGAGATGCTTCATGTAGGGAACCACCTTCTTGCTCATCAGGGAGAAACTCTGTATTTGTGAAATCTCTCCCACTTGTGGGTCATTGTGCAGAGTGTTTTTGGTGAGAAATGTCTCTGCCTCTCTTACTCATCTCGATGTGGCCTTTTTATTCTTTGTTGTGGAGTTGTTATTCAGTTAGTTTTCAGGTCATTATTAAGGGATTTATTTCAGATGTAGTAGATTTTTTGTGTTCATGGGAGGAGATGAGTTCAAGATCTTCCTACACTGCCATCTTGAATCATCTCCTATTTATATTCTTTCTGTTTCTGGATATTTATGTCCTCAATTTTAGGTTAACAGAAGGTTCATGTCAGAGACATGCCAAAAAGTTATTGGAATCATTTTCATATTATTTTAATTTAGATCTATTAATATTAAAATCATAATATACATATATAAAAACCCACCAGTATACCAATGCATAATTAAAGAATTCTAAAAATATGATTTCTTATTCTCCAATACTCTTAGTTGTGTGCATTTATTGTTATTTTATAACAAACTAGGAGGCTCTGCTACTTTTGACTTTAAATCTCAGAATTTCATCAGCAAACTAGATCTACACACTTAAAACTTCTAAGACCTACCAACTATGTGCGCTAGACCCTTTTACCATTAAAGGGATCAGGCTGATATTTTCAGAGATAGCCAATAAATGTCTCTTCCAGTCTGACACCAGTAATAACTCTCTAGGTTTTAGTTTAGAGACAAGTTTATCAGGTTGGCTTGCCATCCTTGAAAATAGGTTGTTAAAGTGAAAAATCTGAAGGACCTTTATAGCCCCACTCCCTCAACTGCCTTTATACTAATATTAATCCTGTTTTAATTCAATACCATTTAAAGCTTCCCTTGTACATGATTTGTTCAACAAACTGCAGTACTTTCTAGTCTGCCAAGACAGCCACAATTCAGAGGCCAGACCCAAGCAATTGAGGCCATTTTATGTCAAAATAAAATCTGGAAAAAATCCAGCTAGTGGATAACCCATGAGACATATATTTTTGAGAAGTGTAATAGTTATCTGCTACTTTATGGACTTCTGCACAGTAGACAATAAATTCAGATAAAAAGGAGCCACACATAACATTCCTAGAGAGCTACCCACAGAACTCCTATATTCTATAGTGTATCAGCTGAGCATACAAGTAGGCTATTAGGCATGATCTCTACAACTTTGAGTTAAGTGCCTACAAAACCTTAGATTGATGGATGGTGGGTTTAGTACTTGGATGCACTTTACAGGGGCTGCAGTATTAGAGGCTTAATAATGAGCCTTTACAATTTTTTTGATG